CCCCTGCAGGCTGGAATCTACCTCCACACTCTCACACCACCAACACCCCTGCAGGCTGGAATCTACACCCACACTCTCACACCACCAACACCCCTGCAGGCTGGAATCTACCTCCACACTCTCACACCACCATCACCCCTGCAGGCTGGAATCTACCTCCACACTCTCACACCACCAACACCCCTGCAGGCTGGAATCTACCTCCACACTCTCACACCACCAACACCCCTGCAGGCTGGAATCTACCTCCACACTCTCACACCACCAACACCCCTGCAGGCTGGAATCTACCTCCACACTCTCACACCACCAACACCCCTGCAGGCTGGAATCTACCCGCGGCGAGGAGCGGGAAGCGGGAAGCGGGAAGCGGTGGGGAGCGGGAAGCGGTGAGGAGCGGGAAGCGACGAGGAGCGAGAAGCGGCGAGGAGCGGGAAGTGGGAAGCGGCAGAAAGCGGGAAGCGGCAAGGAGCGGGAAGCGGGAAGCGGCGGGAAACGGGGGGGGCTGTCTCGTTGGGCTGCGGACAAGTTGCCGGGATACGAGAGTGGCAACTAGTCGCGTCACCGCGCGATTGGCCACGTGACTGCCAGCTGTCATGGCCGCTCGCTTGGCTTCTCTCGCGTCGGTCACGAGCGGGCAGTCGGCGAATCCACGCCGCCATGTTGTTAAGCGCATAATCGGCTCGCGCGCGAGTGCGTGGGTGCATACATGTGCGTGCGCTGCTGCGACGTCGACGTCCCCCCCCCCGCCTGCCGCCACCTTCTCGCTCAGCGTCGGTTGTCTCATTGCCCGTGCCGAGAGAAACCTGATGATTCGGCGTAATAAGCACTCTTATTGCTCGCAGTTACAGCTGTAATTAGCACCTTGGGGACACGGCATTATGGCTGTTGCGCCCCGACGTCGGCTAATTAATGGATGCGCATGCGCGCGCACGATCGCCACGACTGCGCGATCTTTAGTAATTACGGTCACGTCGCGGTAATAAAGTCCTGTGGTGTGAGAGTGTGGTTTCCCGCTCCTCGCCGCTTCCCGCTTCCCACTCCTCGCCGATTCCCGCTTCCCGCTCCTCGCCGCTTCCTGCTTCCCGCTTCCCGCTCCTCGACGCTTCCCGCTTCCCGCTTCCCGCTCCCCAAAGTTTTCCAGCCGGACGAGTCCGAAGCCCCGCTCGTGCGCGTGCGACCGACCGCGCAACGGCGATGCCGCAAATCCAGCTGACGGACGCAGAAATCAATGCTGCTGCAGCGCAGAGCGTGCGGGAAGGAGTTTAGCGTGCGGGCGCAGTCTGCAGCGGCAAGATAAATCGGTACCCACCTAAGTTATTCGCCAATTCGTCAATTCGGGTGAGCGCATGAGGCAGTCGCGATGCATCGACGGCAATCCTCTGCACCTCGGCAACCTGAAATCGACGAGAACACGTCCCGAGATTATTTTCCGCAAGACGAAGGGAGGTCCAGCTAGGTGATAGATAGTTATTAAGTATCTGTGTTACAGTTATTGAGGGGCATGATACAAACTACTAACTCTAAATTTATGTAATTTTATGTGACAAAAAGTAGCCCCCGTAAGTGCAAAAAGAGCCCCTAAAAATAAATTTACGGGGGCTCTTTTTAATGGGGAGTTGGGAACTAAAAACTAAGGAACTCAAAACTAAATTAATTTGAGGGCTGATAGATACAACAGCCAAATGAGTGACCAGCCAACTATGGTAACCTGTTTCATGAGTGAATTTCAGTAGACGAGTGTCGGCCTGAAATTGGCAACTTAAAAACGATGAGAACACTTTCCAATTTATACGAGATAATGAGATGGAAAACTCCATTCGCACACGTCCTTCACGTTGAGTATTATTGCAATGTATCAAGGCAAAACGTATAATTGATATCTGCATTATATAATTAAGACACTCTTTTAGTGAGCAATACATCCCCCCCCCCGTGCCGGGTCAACAATAGTATTCTAAAAAAACAGCTGTTTCTGTAGCCTTCCAGGATGAATTTTGATAGAAGAGGAATACAAAAATATGTAAATAGGGTGTAACGAGTGAATCGAAATGTAAGGATATACTCAGCCACGCATAATCTGACTCGAGGATATATCAATCTATTCATTCCTCTTAATAATACATCATAAAACTACTCACTGAATGAAAAACATTGCACAAGCCATAGAAATGCCTGGAAATAGAAAATCGCTCACACATGCGCACATACATCTGCACGCAGGCATGCATGCACACACATGCAGGAACCCACGCACACATGCACCCACCCAGGAACCCCAACACACACGGACGCATGTACCCACCCAGGAACCCACGCACACACGGACGCATGCACCCACCCAGGAACCCCAACACACACGGACGCATGTACCCACCCAGGAACCCACGCACACACGGACGCATGTACCCTCCCAGGAATA